ATTTTCTTTAATAGTATAGGATTCTTTTTCAGACAATGTGACAGACAACAGTGTGCGTGCCCTACCTGTACAACTCTGGCCATCTCCAGCAAAACCATCGTGGCAGGTACAGGTGTAACTTCCCTCTGTGTTCGAGCAGATCGCGTTGGCATGGCAGCTGTGTGATCCCTGCAGGCACTCATTTACATCTGTAACAAAATGAAATGCTGTCAGATATTCAACAAGAGTTCCACGATCTCATACCTTCGCCAAATGATGTTAACCCTTGCGGGTGACGAATTATACAATTTTAATCATTGATTTTGTAAATAAGAGCCTCATTTGCATGGATTACATCAGTTGATCATATTCTCCACCAAATGACAGCCTTATCATAACAAAAAGGCTATTATAGCACTTCCTCATAAATTATGCAAATGGGGTCATGGTTTGAATAAATTATGTTTATTGATGTTCACCTTCACTTAACTTCCAAATGTGGCAAGTATGAAATTTGGGGTGCAGCAGTTACAACTATGGAATTATAAGAATTTGCCATTAATTATGCAAATTAGGTCAATTTTCTGTGGAATCATGAAATCATTTTCTTTAATAGTATAGGATTCTTTTTTCAGACAATGTGACAGACAACAGTGTGCGTGCCCTACCTGTACAACTCTGGCCATCTCCAGCAAAACCATCCTGGCAGGTACAGGTGTAACTTCCCTCTGTGTTCGAGCAGGTCGCGTTGGCATGGCAGCTGTGTGATCCCTGCAGGCACTCATTTACATCTGTAACAAAATGAAATGCTGTCAGATATGCAACATGAGTTCCACGATCTCATACCTTCGCCAAATGATGTTAACCCTTGCGGGTGACGAATTATACAATTTTAATCATTGATTTTGTAAATAAGAGCCTCATTTGCATGGATTATATCAGTTGATCATATTCTCCACCCAATGACAGCCTTATCATAACAAAAAGGCTATTATAGCACTTCCTCATAAATTATGCAAATGAGGTCATGGTTTGAATAAATTATGACATTTGAAATGAAATTTATAGAATTTCCTCATTAATTATGCAAATTAGCTCTTGATTTGCATAGTCTATTGCCATCTGATTATGTCAAGCATCACTTCAACTACTTACACACCAAAAATCACGACAATACGTCAACCGGTTCTTGAGTTATCGTCCTTCAAATTTTTTTTCATTAAATGCTCCTGCAGTTCCAGAACAAGGCGCTAGGGAACCCAAATTCATGTCACTTCTTCCCAAGAGCTATCTACCAACCAAAATTCATGACCCTAACATGTCCAGAACATGAGATATCAAAACCGGAAGTTCAGCTGCAGTACCTAGGAAAGCCGCCAGGGGGCCCAAAATCTAATCATCTCTAGGTCTCATGAAATGACCCATCTATCAAGTTTCATTCCAATCCATCCACTGCTTCTCGAGTTATCTTGCTAAACCACACACACACACACACACACACACAAACACACAAACGCTACTGAAAACATAACCTTCTTGGCGAAGGTAATGAGCTCTTATTTGGGGCTTCCACATAGACATGGGCTAANTTCGCATCTGTCCCTCAGCATATTGATTGATTTTCTGTTGGGGTAATCAAAACATGAGATTTGCTACTTGCTTGATATTCAGTTCTTGATTATTGAAATATTTATCAATACCTTAGAGGTATATTGATACTAAGGGAAAGTTGCTGTATTTGCTGGCAAACAGTTGTTTCTGCTGTCATTAACAATATTTTCATATTTGTTTTCCCTCCATCCAGACTGTGGTGGTTGTTCCCAAGTCTCCAAAGAAGTTCAAGTTGGATGTATCCAAGAGTCCAAGCAAGAGTCTATAACACTCATCTTTAACTCTGGGGGCTTTAGATTTAGAATCACCAGAATTTCGATCTCCAATAAACTTGCAATAGAGAAATATAGAAAGAAACAAAAGTGAAGTTGATTTCAGTTGATCTACTACTTCACTGCTGGTGGCAGAGAAGACAAACACTATGTACAGTATGGAACTACAGGTTCATTGTACCATGGAAATCCCCCTAGTATAACAAATACAAAGAACAAAGAACAGTGGACCATTAAAGTGACCTGGGTGTTGAATATTCATTTAGAGGCAGCAGAAAGTGAATGCCAGTCTATTTTTGTAATACATGTACGTGTAAATCTTACATAGCTAAGTCATTGTGAAAGAAGATATCCCATAGGTAAGTATTATCCTGTTATTTTCTGGTGATGTACAGTTTACCTTTTTAGTGAAATAGTTGATGAAATAACTAGTTCTGCTTAGATGCTGAAAAGATAACAAAAATGTGTGCCATGATATCTGATTTTTCACTTTGGTGCTTGTCTTTCTGAACTAAAGATTCTAATTATCAAGACCAGCATCAAGATTATGGTTTCTATCCAACCCATATAGAAGAAGTAGGATAAAAATAAGTTGTTAACAGTTTTGGAAACAAAAAAACTTAGTTTTGGAAACAAAAAAAAATGAGAAGGACAAGTTTCAGCATCTGTTATGCTTTTTATTTGCATAAACAAGCATTAATAAGTGCACTAGAAAACCACAGATAACTTACAATATTCAGAAGTACAGTATTAAGTCATTATTTTTTCATCTTTGAACTAAATGTAACATCTGTTGATCTTACATTACAAGTATTTCAAAGCGACTGTTCACTCTTCTGAGTAGCTAAAAATTAACTATTTTGAATGTATAGTAGGTTGTTGTTTTCTCAAAAAAAAAGAAGTGATAGAGAAAAAAAGAAATATGCTCTTTGTTTTTATGGAAGTTTACCGATGTCAGAATTAGATTTGTTCCAAATGTAGTTCGTACTGAAACTTGCTCAATAAGTCAGTAGTACATACATACATGCTATGTAAAAGAAGGTAACGTTTCTTTCAATAAACACTACATTTGTGCAAAATGATGGTCTAGTCTACTTGAAATACATTCAGTTGCCACTTTGTAAAAGAAGATACATGTAATGTTACAGACATATGCGAGTACAAGAAATACCTGGGTATTTCTGCTTTTAACCAAGTTTTGCTTACTAAGATTTTCGTGGCATAGGTCAGTACTACCTAAACTTGCTTTTAGTTAGTTATTTATTTATTGATTTATTTCATCTTTTAAACACGTACCTGGGTGGCCTCTTCAACAGTAAATTGTTGATTTCCAAGAGGGCCCAGGGACACATAAACATAAAGCAATTTGTATAAAAGTAAAATTATACAATCAAGTAACATAACCGAGATCAGTTTAACTGAAAATCAGGGCTTTTACAAAAAAATGCTAGAAAAAGAAAAGACCTGAATATAATCGGGCAATTAGTAATGACAAACAAACATCTTAAGCCCCTGTCAGACATGCAGGACCTTCCTCTTAAAGACTAGTAGGCAACTTCGCCAACAAACTCCCAACCATGGATGGCCTTGCTTACAACCTACTCACTGGTCTTGAGATGGTCTGGAGGCCATAAGGCTGTGTTTGACAGGGCCTTTTTGCACAAGCCGTTCAATCGACACTGACACTGAACAACTTTGATTGATTCCAGGTGGTAAAAGCCCTAGCTCATAGCTAGCAACATATCGTTCTAGTTGGAGTGTATATATCTAGCATTTTCTCAGCATTATCCATGCATATGCCCGTGATTGGACAATTATTCTAAAGCTGTTGCATTCGAATGAAAGGTCATCTGTGTTGGTAGAATCCATGGCCATAGTTGTTAAGTTCCATCTTTGTTCCAACACAAGAAGGAAACTCACCACTCAGATCGCGTTGGCATGGCAGCTGTGTGATCCCTGCAGGCACTCATTTGTAACATCTGTAACAAAATGAAATGCTGTCAGATATGCAACAAGAGTTCCACGATCTCATACCTTCGCCAAATGATGTTAACCCTTGCGGGTGACGAATTATACAATTTTAATCATTGATTTTGTAAATAAGAGCCTCATTTGCATGGATTATATCAGTTGATCATATTCTCCACCCAATGACAGCCTTATCATAACAAAAAGGCTATTATAGCACTTCCTCATAAATTATGCAAATGAGGTCATGGTTTGAATGGATTATGTTTATTGATGTTCACCTTCACTTAACTTCCAAATGTGGCAAGTATGAAATTCGGGGTGCAGCAGTTACAACTATGGAATTATAAGAATTTGCCATTAATTATGCAAATTAGGTCCTCATTTACATAATCTATATCTTCAGATGTTTTTCTCGTTCTCAAGTAGATGTCACAAGTGTTTCATAGTTCTATTAGCGAACAAAGCAGATTGTTTGTTTTGTTTGTTTGAGCCTTTATTTCAACTCGATATGTAACTGTGTTACATGCTCTAATCGGCCGCTATTTCGGCCGCTTTTCATAGAGGTCGAGCGTGGAGGAGTGTCAGGGGGTCATAACATAAATACTACTTACTCACAAATGAAATTTATAGAATCTAATTATGCAAATTAGCTCTTGATTTGCATAGTCTATTGCCATCTGATTATGTCAAGCATCACTTCAACTACTTACACACCAAAAATCACGACAATACGTCAACCGGTTCTTGAGTTATCGTCCTTCAAATTTTTTTCATTAAATGCTCCTGTAGTTCCAGAACAAGGCGCTAGGGAACCCAAACTCACTTCTTCCCTACCCCAAGAGCTATCTACCAACCAAAATTCATGACCCTAGCATGTCCAGAACATGAGATATCAAAACCGGAAGTTCAGCTGCAGTACCTAGGAAAGCCGCCAGGGGGCCCAAAATCTAATCATCTCTAGGTCTCATGAAGACCTACCCATCTATCAAGTTTCATTCCAATCCATCCACTGCTTCTCGAGTTATCTTGCTAAACCACACACACACACACACACACACACACACACACACAAACACACAAACGCTACTGAAAACATAACCTTCTTGGCGAAGGTAATGAGCTCTTATTTGGGGCTTCCACATAGACATGGGCTAAAAGCCCCAACTAACTCTATCTTATCCGGGGTTCACACCAATGCAGCCAGAGGATCGCGAGTTACAGCTGCGAACACATAGCCAGTTTTAGCGGTCCGCCATGCCGCGACTACCATGATCAGAACATCTGCTTGAAAAAAAAGTACATCCATGCATAATATCGACGAAATACATGGCCTGTACAAACACTCAAAACCCTTTCATCTCTTTATACCGTGCAAGTGAGTACCATACGGATTAAAAGGTCTTTGTTAGTCTGAGAGTAAACAGAAAATATTCAAACGGCAAAAACAAACTGAACACACATTAGATATTCGATTGTGTGTACAGGTGAGTTAAGTGCGGATGAAAAGAAGTTACATGGAGAGAAGAAGCTTGCACCGGTTGTTCTGACCACGTCCCACATATAACCAGAAAGGCAAGTTGTAGAAGGGGACGAAACCATTTCATCGTGATCATAAACTTACCGTCACAGTTTTTCCATCTGCCCTGGTAGACCGCGGTGAAAGAACACCAGGGACGGTGATGGTCGACGTTGGTACAGGAATTGTAGGTTATTCCTCCGTACGTTAATGGAAAATGGCACTCCGGGTCTGAAAAAAGATTAAGGTCTGAAATAGAATTTGAGTCAAAGGCATGAGGAGGGCAACTGTTCCGTTCCTGTATAATACCCAACACTTTGCCCAAGTCAATAATTGTATATATATTTTGGCTTTTGTATTCGAAGCTGCACATCCTGAAGTCTAGTGACTGTCTCTGCCGGGGAATAATTCGGAGCAGTATATGAGATGAAATAATATCTCTTCAACTACAAGACCAACTGAGTTTGGTTTCTTGAACCTCTTTAATTTTGGTACAATTAACAGAAAAAATTGTATACGCTTAACGATCAATATACCGATAACGCTTAACGTTGAATTAGAGAGGGCCGGCTACGTTTAGTGTTAGGACAGTGAATTCTTGGAACAGTCTACCGGCCGAAGTTGTAGCTGCTGAAACTGTGAATATTTTTAAGTCAAAGATAGACAATTTCTGGAAGGGGAAGCAGTACAACATTGACTTTACCTAAGAACTCCCACAAACTCTCACATTTTAACTCTTCAGAACTGAACTTTATATTTGAACTGAACTTTATATTTAGAACTGGACTTTATAGTTATAACTGAACTTTTTATTAGAACTGAACTTTATACTTGTGTTTAGAATTGAACTTTGTATTAATTTTGTGCTTAGAACTGAACTTTATATTTGAATGTGTTGTTTAATGTTTAGCTTAAGAAGCGGATTTATATAGGCTATATAGCCTCTTTATCCGACCATTATTATGTTATGTTATGTGTGTTATGTTATTAACGGTGAATTAAAACAGCACGTAACGCTTAACGGAAAAGGGCATGCAGGCCCTCCTGTTTGTATATTCTGTAATTAGCTATAAGGGGACAGGCTGCCGCGACTGGCATTAAGGACAGTAAGTAAGTAAGTCATAATTAAGTATACATTGTATAGGTATTTAGTAATTGTATACAAGAAGTACTACTGACCAATTTATTAGTGTGTATTTTAACTAACCTATAATGTATCGTGTATTTTCATCATTATGTGGTGCAATTTGTATAATGTTACTTAACTTCCAAATGTGGCAAGTATGAAATTCGGGGTGCAGCAGTTACAACTATCATGGAACTAGAGAGGCCGACATTTGCTTGGGAGCAAATACAGCATATTTCAGTCCATCTCCCTCCCACGCAAAAGTGGACTATTCCAAACTTACCCCAGTGTAAAACTGGCAAAGATTCTCAAATAAATGAATTATATAGTAGCTATGTAATTGAGAACAAAGATGTAAGAACAAGCACATTGAATCTCGAAAGCTCTAATCTTATTACAGGTATGCAAATACTAACAATGATGACATTTGATACATTTTGAAGGTCTTAGGCACATAAAATTGAATGTGTGGGTCATTACGCACAACTCACGTGCAATGTGACCTCAGGTAACCCGCTATGGAACACGTGTTCCATGGCCAACGGCAGATGGAACGTGCCATTCTTTAGATAGAACATGGAACGGGTATAGCACTTTTGGCCTTTTTTTGTCTGAAAATAGCCATTAAAGTCCCCCAAATGAGTCATTTGGAAGTGGTGTATGCCAAATATGTGACTGCTATTCTGTAGACACATGTTCAAGGTACCCTTATACCAAATTTCAGATCATTTGGTTGTAAAACCAGGGCTCAGGGTCCAAAAATCCATTTTTTTGCGAAAAATGCCCCAAAAAACCTTCATAAAATTTTTCAAAGGCATGTATAAAAATATTGAAAAAACGCCTGGGGGTATTGGCCCACTCTACCTCCATGCCAAATTTCAAATCATTTGGCTGAATGATGGCGGAGTTGAATCCCTTTGACTGTGTGGCAGGAGGAGAAGGAGAAGAAGAAACATCAGAGAACACAATATATTTCATCCATACCATGGTATGGACTGAAATATAATTATAAGAATTTGCCATTAATTATGCAAATTAGGTCAATTTTCTGTGGAATCATGAAATCATTTTCTTTAATAGTATAGGATTCTTTTTTCAGACAATGTGACAGACAACAGTGTGCGTGCCCTACCTGTACAACTCTGGCCATCTCCAGCAAAACCATCCTGGCAGGTACAGGTGTAACTTCCCTCTGTGTTCGAGCAGATCGCGTTGGCATGGCAGCTGTGTGATCCCTGCAGGCACTCATTTACATCTGTAACAAAATGAAATGCTGTCAGATATGCATTAACACTATAGTGCAAGAAGTTAGTTCACTGCTATTAAGTTAAGAACTTGTCCCTGTGCAATGATATTCAGAGTTTCTGATAGCCACTACAGCACAACTAACCAGAACATGATTTTATTTAGAATTCCTTGTGTGTGAATGGTGATGAAATTTTAAAGGAAACTTGTCCTGGTATGGAAGACTTACCTTCAACACAGTCCATGCCAGTCCATCCTGCAGCACAGGTACACAGGTATCCACCACTGTTGTCATTAGCACAGACACCGTTCTGACAGGGGCTACTCTGACAGGCATCTACAACTGTAGGCAAAGGAGAAACAGTTCTATGAAATGAACAGCCTTTCATCTACTACTATATCCTTTCTCAACTTTGATGTAACGTGCAATTCTTCAATGATTGAAAACAAAGCAAGTTACTTATAAGGATATTGTAATTTTTGGGTATATATAAATTAACAGAAACGGATCTCACTACTTGCACTAGTACTACTAGTACTACTAAAATGCTTGTTCATGCTATACTCACATTCACAGAAAGACCCACTGCCCACGTAACCATTGTTGCAGTGACATCCTTGAATTCCATTCTGGATCCCACAGAAAGCGTTTTCGTCACACGTAACCTCCGTGCACTGGATGTTGTTCTTACTGATGCACTGGCAGCGGCGGTTACATCCTTCTCCCCATGTTTCTCCAACCTTTGGAAAAATTATTAAACAACACATTTAGAACGTACGTACAGCACTTAATAAATTTAGAATAGTACACTCAGGTACAGTAATTGACTTGTAAAATTCTGGAGTAACGGCCTTCGTTTTAACAAGAAGTCATGTACTTACTGCATAGTAGTATCCACCACGAGTGCAGCCACACTGTTGCCTGGTCACACAGTCCCCTCCACTGAGGACGTAGCCGTCATCACACTCGCACGCCTCCACACACATGCGGTCACAGTACTGAGGTGCAGACTCGTCTGTACAGGTGGCAGGACAGGCGCTGGCACAGGAGCTGTAGTGACTGTTGCTGGGGCAGGAGAGTGCTGCGAAGGAAATTTCAGATGAGACAATGACTGAGGATGCTGAACACAATGACGTTTTTCAGTAATATTGTTGTTCAGTTATATTGTAAGTTCTGTGGTGACCCCAATGGCCCCCCAATCATTGTTTATTTTGTTCTGTAAATGTAGTTATTAGCTGGACACCTCCTTTTTGTGAAGGTATTGAATACATGGGTGCCTGAGAATATGGCTAAATCCTATACACAAAAGCCAAACTTACGACAGAAGGTTGCATTCCTCCATGTCCCGATGTTGATGCCAGCCTCAGCGCAGGAGTCGGCGTAGGCCTGAAGGTTGTTACACAGAGACGTGATGTCTCCGTCCAGGGCACACATGTCATACACGCAGGTCTCAACAGTGACCTGCAGGGGAAAAGAATGCATCCAATTTCAAAATATTGTAAAACAGTAGGAATGATGACGAAACGCAAAGCATCCTAAACATAATACACGTAAGCACGAATACAGATGGTATTCAGCACCAGGGACAGGTCTAATCATAGATGTGTGGACAGCACCAAGGACAGGCTTGTTCATTTTTCATACACTAAATTCGAAAAGATACAGGCTTGTATGTGTCCGTACCTCTGGATTGAGGGCTGAGTAGCAGGGAGCGAACACGCTGCTTGGGTCGTTCAGAATTCCGCACAGTTCCGATACAGTCCGCTGGAGGGCGTCGCCGCACTGCGCGGGGGGTTCTGGGTTCTCGTTACACCTGCAAGAATTCAACATATGAAAGTTACATATGGACAAAATGTTCTTAATTCTTCGTCGCCGACAGGTTTCCGAAGTAAAGCGCAGAAAATAATAGAGCAGTCATTGCGGACTGCAAAATCACTTACTGGTCGCCTTCCCTCTCAACCCGCCAACTGTTGCCGAACTGCATGACGTCAGCAGCCTGCGTGCCGTCAGGTGTCACGTATTCGTCACTGACGTCCCCGTTGTAGTTCCCACACAGTCCGCAGAGGGCGCCGTCGTACAGTTCGGGCAGGACGACCTCAGCACGATGCCTCCCGTCAAACGACACCTTCAGCCCAAAGCCTGTCTCTATGGTAACGTACTGACCGACGAACTCGACTGTTAGACCAGCCCGTGGTTTGGCAGGCAGAGTTCTGATCAGCTGGTCAATCTGGGAAGAAGGAATCGCACGTTTCTCCGTAAATCAAAACCAAAATACTGCCATGCGCACAGTACGTGTTGACGTCAGGATGCGTCTGTTCCTTTCTGAACAATGAAATGAAGAATCGCGCTAATGTTGCTAGTCTAGCGCCTGACCCAGGAATGCAGTAATTGGAAGTCAAGGACAAAACATATTGTGTGTATCTGGTATACTTACGTAGACAATCTTGTTCTTCTCCACCACAATTGTGTGGTTGTAGACCTCCACCGTGACGTCTGTGACGTAGCTGACGCGCAGGTTGCCGCCGCGGTTTTCGTTCCTGGTCTCCACGTTGAAGTAGGGCAGCGTGTTGTTCCCACAGTTTCGTGTCAGTGTGTACGTGCAGGCGCCCTGGAAGTGGTGCGTGCGCCCGTCGAAGGTGATGTAATGGGGGGTCTCCATAGGCAACACACGTGCTCCTGGCTGTATGCATCAAAGACAATTGAAAAAGAAAGAAAACAGGAACAATAAGAACTGACAATAATGCAGAGAACTCGTTCATCTTGATCAGTTTCGCTTGTTTGGGGAGTACGGTTTACATGACACTTCCCGTGACTAACAGTAATAGCACAAAACAGAAAATAACTTCAATGTAATGCTAGCTACTGTCGTCTGTAAGGAAGAAGAGTTACTCACTCCAGCAGGTCTTGCCATCTCCGGTGAATCCAGGTTTACACTCGCACTTGTAGGAGCCGTGTGTGTTGACACAGATTGCGTCAAGGTCACAGTCGGCCAATCCCAGTTCACACTCATCCAGGTCATGGTTGACGTCAGCCAAATCTTCGTCAATGAGACCGTCGCCGTCATCATCTCTGGGGATTAGAATGCTTATGTTTATGTTTATGTTTATATAGTACATCCCATCCTAACTTTCGTCATTGGCTGAAGACGGGGTAAAACTCAAGACCATTGCTGTGTCCAATAACCCTGAATGAGCATATTAAAGCTGCACAGGAAGGCATAATGTCCGCAAAGGAAAGGCTTGTTCAGTGATGTTTGT